GGACATCGTGGGCGCGGCAGGTTCCCGCGCGGGCGACTTCCTGCGCGGGGGCCGAGGAAGCAATGCTCGATGAAGTGAGGCGAAGCGCCGACTCGAGGAGGGAGTGCAGTGGATGGCGTGGGAGCTCGGGACCTTCTACCAGACGGGCGCGAAGAGCGCGCAGCAGTTTGACGAGGGGTCCGACATGGACCAGGCGGGGCATCAGGAAGGTCTGCGTCAGCCCGCAGAGAGCATTCTGATGACCCATGGACGACGGAAGCCGAGAAGACGCAGCTGAGGGCTGCGTTGGGCAAGATGGGATGGAAGTCTGAGCATCTAGACCCATGCCAAAGCGCCGTCGTGAGCTGGCAGCTAAGCGACGTCCAACACTCTGCGGCGGAGTCGATGGACGACGCCGACAAGTTGGTGGGCGGCGCGCGAGCAGGCTACTCATGGCAATGGGCCGACTCGTCCGAGGGAAATATCAGATCGATGAGATGGGGGCAATGCCGAAATATTGGCGGTGGGGCCTCCACCATTCGAGATCTTCAATGGGCTCGAGAGTGACGCGACGATGGTGGACAAGAATTCGAGCAAGATCGACCGCATGTGCCGATCCAGCACCCCGGCAGGGATCTGCGCGGCAGTGGATGGCGAGGGCGAGTCGCGCGACGTGAAGCTACAGTGGCCCGGGATGCCGGGCAACGGGGTCGGTTGGAGGCACCCAGAGCGGGCGCTGATTGGCCTGCCAGATGTATATAGCTGCATGCGCGACGGATTCCAAGGGCTTGTTCCACATGCACAAGACGACGCTTCGCCCCCGCAGGGGGGGGGGAGCGCGCGGGCACTGCGGCGACGACGATGAAGGGCGAGAGCGCCCAGGACGGCAGCCGACTTCAAGGAGCACATGGAAATGCTCAGCTGGCTTGCAGCTAGATGAAGGGCCATGAACCAGGCCAGCTCTGGCTGTGGCGTCCGATGGAAACTCGTACCCGTCGAGAAGTACTGGAGCTCCAGGTGCAGGAAGACGGATTGTAGCCGTTCGAGAGCCAGACAGTGAATTCGACCAGCCAATTATACGAAGGTTGTCGGC